AGAAGACCAATAATGACCAACGGACCAAACTAAGTGAAGAAAAACCAACAAAATAGAATCATTCCCATGAAATTTCTAACAATTAGAATAGGACGAATAGAAGCATAAAGTATACATTGACATGAAAATTAAGGGTGTATTCAGACCTGAAAAGTCCTTTGCTCCGCTTGCTTGATCCGAATCAAAAGCAGACCAAACTTTTTTCTTTTGCTCCGGTTCGTATTCAGACTGTCCTTTTTGCAAGTGAACTTTTTTATATGAACATATCGACACGTGTGACGATCGGCGCTCCTATTGGACAGCAGAGCTCACGGAGGATAGACGCGGAACCGGCAGAAAACATTGAGATCGTATGTGCAGCATGTCTGCTCTGCCTCTGTTTGCTCTTTTTAGAGCAAAACCACCTTCAACATCAACAGCAGCTCATATGACGCAGGCGAAACACGTTGTTTTAAATATTGGAACAGCGTCGGAGAATGCGTGAGGAGAAAGCCGAAGGAGAGATCTGTCTGTGCGCTCCGTGTCATGGATCTATGATAATAACGGCCCTGTTCAGCATTGTGGATAAACCATGGATCTATAATAACCACGGGACAAACAGACGCTGAGGATCAGGTAGGAACCAAAGAACACAATTCACTACATGATGCGGGATATTTCTTTTTGAGACGTGAGTCAAACAGTGTCAGGCTTTTAATAATGCAAATGGTTTGAAGATGCTGCCATTAACATCACTGTATACTGTGAACAGTGTAACTCCATAAGCCTGTTGCACAGCGTCTCCTCACTGCTCCAGGTCTGCACACGGCTCAGTGTTGTTGTGTAGCGTTAGCAGCATAGTTAGCATCATAGTTAGCCGCTGCGTGGCTAATTCCTCAGTTTCTGTGTGCGGTGCTTGTTAAGCCCAAAAAATGCGCACGTATCTTGGAGTTGTGTCGGATCGACACCGGATGTATTCAGACCTGATTCGGTTTGAATCCTGGTCCGTTTAAAGTGGAGCAAATGTGCAGGTCTGAATACACCCTAAGTTTTATTATCAAGACAAGTCAAGATTAAATACAAAATTCTGAATAAGAAAACATACTGCTCCCTCAAGTGTGTTACAGTCAAGTCACCGACTGAGAATATTAAGAAGTTCAACCCTTAGAAATATCTTCCACAGTGCAGACTTATGTGAATAAAAATGTAATGGCTCTATACGGATGTGTCTGTTGGTGATATGATATGAATACAACAGTCTAAAGAACTTATATTGTATGGCACAGGACCTATACAGTAACACTGCACTTCCTGGCTGAAGCTACTTTCTAATAATGTGTATAAAATCTACACCGGAGGAAGCTAAACAAGCTAATAAATGGTGTGTGTGACAAAACACCGCATAACAGAACACACACACACACACACACACAATGGGACTAAATAAATAAAGTATTGAATTGAACCACCACCACATTGTTAATGACACTACACAAACTGGACCTTGATTTTCACACCCCAACATCTGAAACAACACGTCACCCTCCTCCCTATCACAGAAGAACCAGCGCCAAACAACCACATGATAGACTTCACAGAATTTTCCAATAAAAACAACGTGCGTAATTTATAGCTTGCCTCTGTAAGGGAGGTGAGCTGAGGTGAAGGGAATTGGAATCGTTTATGTAGAGGGAAAAAAAAACAGGTTTAAACTACATTTCCTGTCAGGTTATGTAAGGCCAAGACAAAAGATGAGGCCATCAGCTAGACACTTGCCTTATGTAACCGAGCAGTCCAGAAAGGTATTAGCATGGCTTTATGGGAGGTTACAAAACAAACATTGGATTCAAATATTGGATCATGTTGGTGTTTGGGCAAAGGACAACGGCTTTGTTAAGAAAATGTTTAATTTGGCTGGTAGTGAAATCTTTTGAATTGTCACTTGGGCCATATCATAGTAGAGAAAATTACAAAAAAAACAAAAACAATGTGTGTGGCCTCATGTTAAAGCATTTTTTTCCCAGGAAAACAAGCACATTTATTTTATCCTAAATAATTAACCTATAAAGGTCATAATTTTCCAAAAACATAAATCTGTCTACGATACTCATCCCTCTTTACCTTTAGTCCATTTTGGTTCCATATTGAAACCCATCGTCAATAAAATAATAATTTGCTTTTGTAGTTTTGCCAAATTAAAGTAACTGCATAAAAACAGGTCTGACCCTCCACAATATGATAATATCCCAATGTCGCCCTCAGAGAAAATAATAGCCCTGTTCTAAACAGATATCCACGATGCTAATGCTAAGTACAAGAACGTCTTTCTCAACCTCTTTGCTGATATCCATTTTACAGTGAAAGGTATAATCTTGTATGCAGTCTACAATTACAAGAAAGAGGTCATATGCAAGTGTGACATAACGTTTCCAAACAATCGGTAGATAAAAATTGGTTTTCCAGCATTAGAACTAGATTACAGTGTAAGGTGTAGATATGTGAGAGGAGTTGGGTGAAAGTATGGGTGAAGTGAGATATAGGGCTTTCTGGATTGTAGGCCACTGTGTCAGTCTGCAGCTGCTTAGACGAAGGGAGGAGAGAGGGGACTTACGTAAAGCATTGGCGCACATGCAGCCAGCCGGGCACACTGTGTACTCTCCCAAAGACCATTTCAACCATGCCATTAAAACACACACACACACACACACACACACACGCGCGCGCCCCCATAAGTTACATGATGTCCAAAGCCAGAGAACAAAAAGTGGGTGTATAGACTTAATTGCTAAAAGAAAAAAATCACAAAGGTCAGTTCTCCATAGAGCTGAATTTTTAACTTGGCCTGGAAGAGATAAGCCAAAGCGTCTGCCCCTCCACCACACACTTTAAAAGAATACACCCTTGTGCTTCTCCACCTCACTCGCTGTACAGTGTGACCCAGGAACAAACTGTACTTTGGGTGTTTTTTTACTACCACTGACTCATTGCTGCTGCGGCAAGAAAGGTATTACTTTGTTTAAAATTCACCAATACAAGTGGAGTCAACAAATTAAAGTAGGTTCCGGCTCTATAATTGTAAGGGCCGTCCCATTAAAGCAAGCTGATACTAAGCTATGTTACTGAGCATCAGTATGGATTTGATAATTAATGAATTACTTTCCTCCCATCTTATTTCACAGACAAATACCTAAATGCATATTATATACATTTTTATAATCATATTTTTCTCATCAAACAACATAAAATACTCCATAATGATGCTGGTTTTGACACGCAGGTACTTTGTTTTGACAGTATCAACTTGATTTGTTAGGACACACATGTGAACATGTTAACAACCTACCAATGTACGAAATCAAAGGAATAGTTTGAAGTCCTTTAAGATAGGATTTTTTTGAGGCATAGAATCTCTAAAGATGTTTCCCAAAGAGCAAAAAATATCATTCATATATCATTGAGATAGATACTTTATTGATCCCCGCAGGAGAAATGCAGGTGCCCAGTAACAGCCAAAACACATCTACCCACACAAACCAAACAAATAAATTGATAATTCTAAAAACGTAACAATAGTAAGGAGTATTTGCAAGCAGTTTGGAACCAGCTGCTGAGCCTTGACCAATCATAGATGGGATTGTTCAAGGGATTTGGTCAGGGAGATGGCCAAGAACCATAATCGTAAAGTCAGGCAATAAGAAAAACAGCCAAATTGTCTGCATTGTGCAGTGGGGGATGTGGGCTGATGCCTTTAATGATGAGGAGCTTGTGTCTGGCTATATAATTCCCGGATTGCATGATAATGAGGAGCCCTATTGGTTCCAAATGTTTTTTCTACCTGTGAATTGACTCTCTACGGACTAAAATATCACCAAAAAACAGCCATTTCCTAAATCAGACATACTCGCACTAACAACATTTCATTCAGACACTGCTGGTTCAAACGGGTGTTTCAGTGGGATTAGTCACTCACGCGTGTGTCTGACCCACTGCTCTCATGAACTACATGCGCTACTGTCCCTCCCACAGTGGCACGCGCTCTCCGGCCGCGTGGACTGGTCCTGTCCCGGTCCACCACTCAGCTCCCGGGACAGTTTGACGCAGAGGTGGAAGCAGCCAATCACGGAGCGGCACTGACACCACAACAGCGCACACGTTGGCAGCGACGCCGGGACTCAGCCAGCGGACATGTACGTGCGCCAAAAATCTTTAAATAATCTAAAACGAATCGATTTCTGACCCAAAATGGAGATGTATGTGCAAACAGACGCGTAGTAATAGAAAACGTGCAATTTGAAACGTAAGGAAAATGAGGAGATGTAAAAGCCGGTACAGCGACCAGACTGTTACACAACCATGTTAAGTAACTTGTAACAATCTAATGCACGTTCAACATATAATTCCACGAAAGAGCTTTGGCCTATAACCTCTCTGTTGAATATATTGACTACCCACGGGTTTCTCTTTCATTATTTGACAGTTTAAAGCTGTTATCTGTGAATACAAGGAGGACAAAAATGACCAACACAGTCTCTTTGTGTCACGCTGTCGTTACAAAACATCTGAGCAGTTTCATAATGATTAAAATGCAAAAACTAGTACAAATTACGCCACACACTGATACAACAGTGCAATACCATAGCACTATCGTGTGCTATAAAAGTGGAAAATAAACATGTTATGACAGCAATCGCCAAAGAAAGATCGACGCAACCCTTTCACATTTAAACCTGCTTGTTTTTTGCCGTTTATCCTTCTTTTTTACTCTTGCAAATTTTACAACGAGTGTGCACATGTTTTCTTTCACTTAACTATATATTCAACTTTAAAGGAGTAGATTTTATGGACATGTACCGCTACTTGTAAAGCACAATTTGCCAGACTTTGGTGTGGTTCTTTGCAACGTTTCGGTGTCCAAATGCAACACGACACAGCCAATTTGGGTCTCATCGCTTCCCTCCACATACTTTATACTATATTAGAGCAGCTTAAACATTAACATTGTACAATTCATCCTCTCATACCTGAAAACGTCTCAGTCTCGTCCAAAAGCAGCATGATTCTCCCCGGGCTGCGGCGCGTCTCCGTGCGTAATAGTTGTGTTGTGTCTCGAAAACTGTTTGAAACACTTAACTAATTTTCTGTCTTTCAGGCTGCTCTTTTGTGATGCTGACTGAAGTGGAGCGCTGTAGATTCTCTTGCTTCAGGGAGGAAACGAGTGAATGCGAAGAAGCAGCGCGCAATGGACTGGTATCACAGCACGGACTTACATAAGCGCTCAGGCTGGAGACGGGGCCCAGTCAGGGGGGATAAAGACGGACGCTGATTGAAAGCGCAGGGACTGTACGGCTGGGAGGTCCGGGCTGCCTGCTCCACTCCCACACATCCGCACTAATTCGTCCTCCGCGCATGCCTTTTTGGAGTTTACCGGTCATACTGTATATAACGCGCTATGGGGAATGAGCACGCAATGCAGGCAAGACATGTCATGTATGGCTTGGTCGGGATGTGTATACATAACTACATTTTGACCATACGTATTTATTCTATTTCACTTATTTTCTTTTTAACTTTTAACCTTTTATACGTTTTGCCATTTCAGTTTGTACTTGTTTGAGCTACTTTGTCCGTGTCATTTTCCTTAGGTTTTTTGTGCGTAATCATGCTGCCACTGTGAAACAGAAAATACAAAATTGTGGTTTAAAAATGAAGCACGTTGAATTCTGGTTCAAGATATTGTCTCTAATCAAAGTTACTGTCTATGTTTGGGACCTTCAGTGGTTGTATCCCTAAACCATTATCTGTTTTGATTGTTTATGCTATCATAGCTCATTCAGATTTTGTCAAGAATTGCCACAATTGTTATATTTGATTTAGAATAAAACCTGATACACAGGGCTGGAACAGGGACCGTGTGGTCATCTTTAATGCGTCGTTTACAATAATGCTATATTAAAAAACTAACAGACTAACCCATAACATATTCACTTCACAGATCACAAAATATATGTATGAATATCTCAAAAAGATACAAGCACTGTATAAAAACGTAGATTTATTATGACAATAAAATGAACATGAACATCCCATGAATAGGATTTACATTACAAATGGGTGAATTGAAGCACTCACTACTGTAAATGACGACAGACGTTAAACCTACACCGAAAGCAAGTCGGCCGTCATACAACTGATGTTCTTAAACAACCAACTAAAGTGTGACAATCCCATGGTGAACTGCCATATGGGCAAAAATATGTGCAACATTTCGATTCCAATAGCTTTATTATGAATAAACATTCTTCAATTGTCTGGCTTTGTCTGTGAAGCCTTGAGGAGGAGGCAGCCTCATCTATCTAAACGGGACCATTTGTGTTTTAAAGGCGTTTATGTGCCTGACGTCTGTAAATGGAGTCTTAACAAAATGTAAGGGGGCCATCAACACTAAGTGATTATTGCCAAAAACAACAAATCAAAACAATAATAATGTAACAACTAGACGGAGCAAATGTTGGGGGGGGTCATAGAGTGCTTTATGTCTTGGTACTGTGTCTGTCTGTCTTCCACCCCTTCTCAAGCTATATATAATTTTCTATTTAATTTGAACTTATTCTACTAGAACAACCGCAAAGAATTAAAAAATTCAGATCGAAAGGGTTTAGGTTGAAGTTTGAATCTTCTATCAAATCAGATGGCTTTTGAATACGGTAACATGACAGCGACAGTAGCGGTGCTAAAAAGGTATAAGCAAAATATTTAACCACAAAAAATAAAGAAAGATTGAAATGAATATGTTTTTATGTTAAATGAAGGAAAAGTCTCAAGTGGGTGGGGTCTCAACAGCAAGATTACAGTTTGAGGAAGTATTTGAGGAATCCCAATGACTCCCCACTAATCCTGCACAAACAACAATATACAACTAAAAAGACCAAGTGTTATTTTTACTGATTCTTTTTAAGCAAATCAGTAATTTACATAACAAGGTATGTCTTACATTGAGAAATATCACAAAAAACACCATAGTGAGGATTTTGTAAATGGCAGCTTTCCCTTTAATTTACATCTTTTGTGTACCTTTTATATCCTGCTTGCATAATACTGGTAGATTTGAACAAACCAATCCTTTGTATACAAACAAGTGAAACATATATAAAGCAATGGTTGAAACATTCCATCTTTCTGTATTCCAAACCTCAGTCTCCTGTGATTTGGTGGCTCACTTTAGGACTGTTTATCAGTCAATGGCTGAACTAGTTGATCATAAACACGACATAGAGACCATGTCATGTGCTATGATTTGTGTTTTATGGATCAGTATTTTTGATGACATTATCTCTGCAAGCTTACATAAAAAGCTTGTAGACATACAACAGCATTACTATGGCTTTATGTTTGTCAAATTGGTTTTATGTTAGTAATAAACCATACACAGAATGAAGACAGCAAGGCATGGGGGATGACTCTGCTTTGACTCTAAGTTGTTTGAAATATAATAATAATGCATTTTATATAGCGCTTTTTTGGACACTCAAAGACACTTTACATGTCATTATTCTTTCACTCCGCACACGGTGATGATAAAACTACTACTGTAGCCACAGCTGCCCTAGGGCACACTGACAGAAGCGAGGCAACCAGTATGTGCCATCGGCCCCTCCGATCACCACCAACCATTCACACACACCAGACTCATTCTAGGCAATGGGGGTAAAGTGTCTTGCCTAAGGACACAAGGACAGTTTGGCACTTTACAGCCGCAGCCGCCCCACTGTGGATGGTGTTCCCAGAGGTTAAGTGTCTTGCCAAGGACACAACGACAGCAGACAGTGGGAGTCGTTGGTGAAGGTCGGACTCGAACTCACGACCCTCAAAGGCCATGCTCTACCAACTGAGCTACTGTCACCTTATAAATATAATGTATTCCAAATATATATAAATATATATTTGGAAGTGGGAAGGATCAGATTGCTTGGTAGACCAGATTTGACTCCTGTGCTGCATGTTGATTAGACCTGCCTTAAAACTAGCGTACCTGACTGTCCCCCCTCATAATCACAACTTTGTCCCAATAGAAAGAGTCTTGTAAAAGGAAACATTGGAGAACAAATCAAACCCAAAACATGCTGTCGTCATCTCATTACAAAACAGATTCTGAATGAAGAGTCCTGTTTGTCGCTATTCGATGCTTTTGGCTGAGAAGCTGATTGGCCAAGTGTGGGTGGTATTCTCTTATTTACTTTTCTCTCTGAAAAAGCATATCTAAAGATGTCACGTACTAGTGGAAAAGCTGATTTGAGAATGACGTTCTTTGTGGTTTGAATGTTCCGCTTTGAAGAGCTAATATGTACTAATTATAATAAACAACATACAATATAATAATTTTGTTGAGACTATGATGACACCATGGTCTCAAATTATTAGACTCAAAACTGGAGGAACGAATGTGGGCAAATCATTTTTACTTTTTTATTTTGGTCCAATTAAAGGAGCTTTATCTATATGTTTAGTTTCAGAAAGTTACAGAGGTTAATACAGTGAAAAGGGACTTCATTCAGACTAATTAGAGTTAGTACACAGGTACCTGATGGATCAAGAGCAAAAAAAAAAAAACAATGAAACTGTCAAATGTAAAACTTTCTCACAGATGAAGCCCCTTAAAAGTTGAACATTTTTTGAGGTTTTTGTTTTTTGACATAATGAATATTTTGCTGTTGTGTTTGTATGGTTGGATGTATTTTTGCTGCTACCGGACATCTGAATTTCTTCTTTGGGGATCAATAAAGTATCTATCTATCTCTCTATCTGTCTGTCTGTCTGTCAAATGACGTAAGCAAGCAAGACTTGTGTCAACTTACAACTGCTCTAAACTTTGAAGTTATTTTCCTTTTATCACTGCATCACAAAACAGCACGTCAGCAACAACCACTCTCCAGCAAACACACATTCTTCTAACATGTACTTCCTTGTCATCATTATCCTTACTCCACATGAACATCCAGTTTCAATACATCCAATACGAACATGGTAAACTTTCTCTGTTCCAAGTCATTCAGGTTCATTTCATAACAGCATTATGAAACCTCAAGACTAGACCGGCATCGCTGTGGATGTAGGTCAGTGTGGTAGAGAAGCACGCTGTTAAAAAGCCCATTTGATTTCTCTTAAAGTGCTAGCTACATGTGCTGTATTGGACGAGAACATGAGGAGAAGCGGTGAGTGTACAGTTCTTAATAATTCCAGTCAAATTCCTCACTCACCCATGGCACGCAGTCCTCAAAAGTTCACTGACTCAGTTATCGATCCATGTACACATTTTCTCCTTAATAGAAATGCCAACAGTTGTATTGATCCCTTTCACGCTGTGTCCCTGTCAAAATGTGTCCAAACCCTGCCTTGCTCTGCTCTCAAATGGACAGGCCAATGGGACAATTACAAAACAATGCGTCCATGATAGCTGCTCTAAACCAGCGTGTGTCGAGAACCCCCCTTCGTGTCCCTGCTCAGAGCTTCCTGCCCCCCCCCTGCTTTCCCTCCCCCCTGTGTGACGTGCTTAGGAGTCTAGCCCCGCCCACCACAGAGACTGCCTTAGGTAACGGGCAAGGGGGTAACAAGAGCAGACCATAGATGCAGGACACGCTGTTTATGTTTAGGTCACATTGTGTTGTTCGGGAAGATGCTGCATAATAGATATGCGAGGGATTTTGTATCGATATTTTGTTTAATTTTTATTTAGCTTAGAGTTATTGTTAATTTATCTTGTGTCGTGTGCTCCTCATTCCTTTACTGTTGTGTATTCGGTGATGCAACACTGAATTGTCTTCACTGTGGGTTTTAATCTTAATCTATATACATCTAGTTACTATTTTTATTTTGTGCTTTAAGCATGTACGTAAACTTACTCAAAGCTCTGTACATTTTTTATACTTTCAAGTCCAACAGCGACAATAGCTAATGCTGTGGTTTTAAATGGTGCTTTTCAGAACACATGTCATTATTCTTTCACTCCATACACAGTGATGATAAACTACTAACCAGAGCTGCCCTGAGGCACAATGACA